TACCGGGTCAAGATGGTCGGTGACCGGTACTATGTTTATGTTAAATTATAATTTGAAAATATTGGTTGATTGTTTCTTCTCCAGTGGAGACCACTCATTCAATAGTCATAGTGGCCCAGGCTGCTATAAAAATGCATCACACATCTCGAACTAAATACGTCGTAAAATCTATAATATTTAAATGATGTCATAAAGTTGGACATGTTCATTTGTATTTTATACAGCCCATAAAGAACATTGTAAATAAAAAACCGACTAGTTTATACAACGAACTAATAAAAGTGTGAAACAAGTTTTCTGTTTTTAGAAAGCAAATACAAAATGATATCGTCATTTTAGTCACACAGCTAAATACCAAAGCAGCACACTGTTACTTACACAATTGTAAAAGTGACCTCGCTGAGTACATACTAGATGTGTTGGTTTGCTAATCAAAAACCGACAGTTTTCATACTGAACTGTAAAATCCATTGCCGGTTTCTGGTATCATATTAAATATAATATTTTGAAAGATCACCGTTCGTGTTTTTGTTGTCGCATGTTCATTAGATCAATATTATGTTATTGTGCAAAAGATTCATTTTCTTTGACAGTGTATAAACTGGAGTTGTGGGTAGTTGCAGTGGTGTGTCCTCGATGTAAAACCATCTAATCTCGCTGTATACTGGGACTACTGAACAAGGCCCTTACTGACGGAACAACGTAAACAACGCAATCTTGCGTGTTTTGTGAGTTGCTGAAAACATGTTAGATTTGTTTCAAATTTCGAGTCGAATTGCAATCTTACTGACAAACATGTAATTGATGCACACATATGCAATGCATTATGGGATAAAACATTCCGCTATATGTAATGAAAAGTAGTTAATACACTGGAAACTGAACAAATTCGTATTAGATATAATGTATGAATTATTCGAAAAATTGTTCCGTGATTTTTTTTATTTTCAGTATTTTTATAGCATAAACCCATAATAATGAATTGATGAACTTGATATATATAATCTGGCATCACCTTAAATGAAATACCGTATAAAAACTATTTGTTTATCAGTGATAACGCTAGTATAATGTTATAATCAATAGTTTAATACAGCATCGGCTCAGAACATGCCAAATAACTAGGGCAGATTTACGAAAGAAACCAAATTGAATGAAGTTTATTGAATAATGTTCTCCACAACAACATGCGAAGTTATAAAATGAAAAGACAATTGCCCTACTAAACTGAACAAACAATATATATCTTTATTGGTTATGGTTTCCTGTCCGAAAACGTTTGTACTCGATGTTTACAGCCCAATAATTGATCATAAACTTCAAGAAGGTACACAAAGTAAAACAGAATTTGTTACCCCAATGTCAGTATTGTTGACCTTTCAGTTTACGCGTGTTTGATATTGGTCATGTGACATTCACTTGAACTTTGACAGTTACATTACTAAATATCTTTATCATGTATACCAATACCGGTGTGTTAGTCACGTGACCAAGACTGTTCACCATTATTTATTAAGACATTTTTAATAGCAGTATTATACTTTTCGCGGGCAAACGATTTGTATTGATGCAGTCTGTGTATACGAGATTATAATATCAATACTTCTAGTCTATATAAATTACCTATATATTCATAATCGCGATATATTTTTTTTTAATTGACGAACAAATAATATTTCTACTCTTTGCCATCCATCTGGTAGATACATTCACAAAACCATACATCGCTCTCACTGTAGACGTTAAATCATCATTCGAGATACACATTGGCGTTCCAATTTTATAATCTTTCCACACGTTGAAATGTATACAGTGCATAGAAGACGTACATCAACCAATACAATTATTCCATATCGTGGCATAGTAAACGTCGTCACATATAGCTACTAGTACAGGCACCATCGATACCACGATTACACTGTTAGTGCATTCGTGTGATGTGTCATGTACATATCTGTATGTATTAAGTAAGTAAGTATTAGTGCGTATTTCACTGGCACCAAAATACAATTGCCGATTAGAAAATCCGAAAATAAACTTATGTTAAATTATCATAATTTATTTACATTTGTTAACATATAAAAAGTGGTAAACATAAGACTCTCTTGGATCAATGACACTCTCAAATCCATCAGTTTATTATGATTCGACCAAATCTTTGTGCGCCTCTTGCGTATTTGTTTTGTTTCAAAGCTGTCGGTTCATTCATTTTAATGGGGATGTATTATTCTTGTCTTCTTTGCTTTGTTTGCACTAAGCATTAATATTAGTTAACTATCAAATAATAATAATTATTAAATAACAATTACTTAGGGAAGACTAATTTTAACAAATGCACACACATAAAAATGTACGAGTCAGTCAAAAAATGCTCAGAATACAATCAACTTTGTATAACTTTAGTTAGTACTGAGGCACGAGATTGGTGAGACTTTCGTTTTCTATAGTCCAATTTGTCCTTGTAATGTTGGATGTAATATATATGGGAATTCACTTCTCAGATTCGTGAGACCTGCCCGGAACATCATTTGCACATTTTTATTTTGTTTGTGTGTGCCACGGCTGTGATTCAACTGCTCGTGATACGTCTAGTAAGTATCTATTGTGAAAGGGTGTAATCCATTTAATAGAACACACATCACAATCTAACATAGTACTTCACAGAACGCTTACTCTACTCAGCGATATACGTAAACATATTTCAGACGTACGTCCTATCCTGATTTTGGTTCACTCCTTGTTTTGTATTTTCCCGCGTCTGCCACCCTCTCCTACACAGTACGAAGTTCAACTTCATAGTTTTATGGGTCATTCGAGCTTGTGTATAATCAACTAGATATGTTATCTGTTCCTATCCAAGTGCACTTGTAATATAAACATGTCACATTGACCGAGGTCGTGACCTCGAATGTCGAGAGCGATGTGGCATTGTTTGTCATACAACATATATGGCCCGTAAATAAGCCCCTGTTGAATTGTAAATTACAGAAATCACGGATCATTTGATCCTCGTCATCTTTCGCGAATGATAACTAATAATTTACATAAGTCTGCAGATGAAAGAGTTTCGTATTAATGACGTAAGATACACTACAATGCAAGTAATCGCACCAATGTCATCAACAAACCAATCTAAATACTGGTACACCGGTCACCACGCAAGTATATATAAGTATATATATGTAGAATTTACCACCTACCTCCTCCATTTTTATATACCATATATGGAAACCTCCAGATGTTGCCGAGACCCACAGCATATCCAATGCAAACCATTATGAAATCAGCCTTACTATCCCACCCGCCTCTCTCATTAGATGTATTCTCATTCAAGTCTTCTTTTTGGCTTTCTTCAATGTCACCTTCGACATCTTGGTTGTTCTCAATTATCTCAGTCGATCCGTTACTCATTTTATCAAGTTCCATTGCTTTTTGCGTCGACGAATCTTCGCTCATATTGGCAGTAGTGGTTAAAATATTACTAAGTATTACTAGACAACAAATATCCACCAAATCAAATGAACTATAAATAGGGGTTAGATTTCACTATACGTAGTTGTTAGTGTGATTTGACTGAGTCTGTAAGATTTGTCACAGTCAGCAATCATATATGCTAGGTTTAAGGCGGGTGGTGATTGGTTGGCAATCAGGACATTTCACGTAGTACTAGGGGTGGTCATGTGAAATTGGACTCAATTAATATCAATAGTTCAAACATGTTTGCCTTTATATCTATCCAGTTATTGAAGATACACGTGAATACGTACACTGTATATAACATTGTACCAACACGGTGAAAATCGACGCTCCCAGTCTCACAGGTAACTGTAAAATCGACCCCCCCCCTAATCTCACAACAAATTGAACATCGACACCCCGATCTCAGATTAAAATATTAAATCGGTCTATTGTAATCAGAGGTCAAATATTGATCAACATTATAGCAGACAGCATCTGCGCTCTAGGCCAAACAACTTCATAGTTTGTTTTGAACGATCTCAAAATTACGGTATTCTATAGCAGCAAACATAGCTACATGAGATGATATTCTATACAATGCCCACAAATCATTCGTTGTCCAACATTCGGCATTATCAGCATCTCTATGTTCTATATATTACAATATGAGATGTTAAACATAAAGTCTTAACCTGAATATTCGCGTCATGTGCTTAGGTGCACTTGGGTCAATAAATGTCAAATCATTAGCCCGACGACCATTGAATGCAAAACAGATTACAAGTAAATTTTAGTAGTACACAAATACATACGTCATCACACACGAGGTTATAATAATAATACTTAATAATTGATTGCCAGAGCAAATTGACATCACGACATAGTAAAGACAATAGCAGCTGTCGTGATTAGGGGTGGCTCGACCAATAAAATTATGAATACACATAACTTAATTTGTTGTTAATTTGCGCTATTGGTACTTTGATCTCATATCCGTAACATAACTAGATTACACAAATACAACTATAGAAATTATATAACACTCATCAAACGATATCAAGATTATCTGATACGATAACGAGATTTTGAATTGGGCAATATTCAAAGATTATAAAAAAAGAAAAGAAATGGAATTTGATGGCGTGTATGATAAACACGAATAATTGGAAGTAACTGTAACGTGTTCAATAATGCAATAATTATCGTTATTAAATATGTGCTGCAGTTGACTGTACTGCAGTGGTGAAAATACAAGCGTCGATATGAAAATAAGCAAGAAACATAGTGTTAGTGCAGTATTCCATGGTATGTC